TAGCAAGAAAGCCGTTGCGCTAATGCGCATATGTTTTTTTACGGTAATAATAAAAAAATACCAAAAATACCTCACCCGATGGGTACTTTTGCACCTATACGGGTGCAGTCCTCTAGGCGGGTGCCCAAGTACCCTAGGCACCCACCTAGGGGTATTAGGCAGGCGCCCAGGGGCCACCCGTCTAGTTGGTCCACCCAAGCCTGAATGATGTGCCTAGGCCCCCCTAGCTTGTCTAGGTGCTAGGCAAACCGCTTTTTGAATCAATGCTCTGCTCATAGTTAAAAAATGTATTGTTATAAGCCCAAATTCTAGTAGAGCAAACAAACTCTTTCATGAAAAGGATTGCCCCTCTCTGTACTTAGTTGTGGTAATTTTCAGCTAGTATTTGTCTGTTACAATGATCTAAAAACCGGCGCTCTGGATTGGAATCGCCCAATTCAGGTCGGCAACCAGTAGTAACTAGGTTGCCTTTTGGTCGGAACCGGGAATCAACTTGGTTCCCATGGAACTTGTCAGTTTTGTTTGTGAGTCGACCGATTTTGTCAAGGATAGGGTCATCGGGTTCCCACTTTTTTAGTTTTCATTTTTATTTTTCTAATTTTTTATTTTTTATTGACCAATCTCATTAGGAGAAGGTATACCTCGCCTATATGTTCTTTTGATATGAAGTGGTTGGGTGAACCACTTTTATATTGCCTTGCCTCCGAATAATCTCACACACCTTCTCGATGTGGGATTAATTTCTCACAGATTTAGTTATGACAATCTTGAATGTGACAAACCTTGGACCTTGATTTTAGGAGATAAAAAAAGACAAGCTAAAGTTGATAAGTTAAGGTGTGGTTTATATATGGTTGAAACCTTTCTTGTAGATGTATGATTGTGATATTCTATAAAGTTGATAAGTTAAGGTGTGGTTTATATATGGTTGTAACTTTTTTTGTAGATGTATGATTGTGATATTCTATACTGTCCATTTTAGTTTGGTGGTATAGATTTGTCACATCTTTAAAGATATTGTTAAATAGTGGTACGTCTTTTAAAATAGTGTCAAATTTACACTGTTCAAATAATGACACATTGTAGATTACTTCAATCTTACTTCTTCAAGTAAGGTTGCAACCTTATATATAATTTTTATGATAATTAAATATATTTATTTCTTTTTCTTTAGTGATTCCTTTTTTTATAATAATTAAATATATTTATTTCTTTTATTTCTTTAGTGATTCTTTTTATTTTTTCTTTTTTGTTTGAAGAGTTGTGGTAATTCCTATAGAAGAAAACAAGTAAGGTTGCAACCTTATATATAGTTTTTATGATAATTAAATATATTTATTTCTTTAGTGATTCCTTTTTTTTCTTTTTTGTTTGAAGAGTTGTGGTAATTCCTATAGAAAAAAAGGCCATGCTTGTCTTTGGCAATACAATGACATAGTTAAATGTACATTCTTTTTGAGTTACATTGAATGTACCAATTTATATAAGATCAGGTAATGGATGGGGAAATCCCATAGATTTATATGTTATTTTATGTTGCCTATGTTGCCTTGTAATTTTGCATTTTGTTTCTTTCTTTTTTCACGTAGTTTTGGATGATGTAGCGCCTTAGATTTTTCCATATATTTTACTATTTTAGAAATGAATGTATAGATTTTTCCATAGTTTTGCTATTTTAGAAATGAATGTATTGGTCTAACAAATTTTGCTATTTTAGAAATGAATGTATTGGTCTAACCCCTGTGTCTTACTTTGACTGTGAAATGAATGTATTGGTCAACAAATATCTAGGCATGAAATATGTTCTCAGACAATGTTAAAAAATGGATTCGGCTGCTTAGGCGGCCAAGGGTCTAGACTGCTTGGGGTGGTAATGGATGGACACGACGACTAGACCCAACCCAGGTCTGGGTATGGGTCCAAAAATTGGACCCGGCTGGATGGGTCCGGGTCCCGGTCCATGGTGTTATTATTTAAATAATATTAATATATAATATTTTGATAATATTTTGATACATATAACTATGTATTTTAGTTATAATATTTAAATAATACATGTATATATTTAACATAATATTTATTTAAATAAATAATTCCTATATATATATAGTTAGCATAATGTTTAAAGATATATACTTTTATTTTGGCATGGTTTTAAAATGCAGCCGCATCGCTGTATATGCGGCTGTATAAAGCGTTATGCGCTGGGCAGCGCATCACAACAGGCTGCATATGTGCTTTGGAGAGATGCATCTGCATATATCTCTCCACATATGTGACTGCATCCTGCATAATCCGCATATGCGGTCAGTCATTACCCCTCGGGCAGGGGTATTTTGGACATTTTGAGCCCCGAAAAAGGGGGGGAAAGGGCCTTGGGGGTATTATACCCCCCAAATAACTATATCGGCCACTTCCGTGGCTTCTTTTGAATCAAATCAATCAAACAAAAAAGTGGCGGAAAGTCTTTTTTGTGAAGTTATTAGATTTTTGTATTGCGTGATGATTGGTGTTGATTTACTTCTTTTGGTTGTTGATTTGAAGATGTTTAGGCAAAGTTTAGAATGATGATGCACATGGAGACTTTCAAGATAACATCTCTGATTAGGATTTGAAAATGATTATGAGAATGATGATGCACATGGAGACTTTCAAGGTAACATGTCTGATTAGGATTTGAAATTTATACTCTCAAGTCTTGAGAGTTGATTTTCAAAGATAGTTGATACAGAATCTCCGACAGGCGACATCTGATACTTTTGGAGTTAATGAATAAGCCAAATATGTACTATCACATAAATCACCTCCATATTTTTTCCATATATTTTTCTATGCATTAACTTATTTTTTTTAGATTTTTTTAGAATTTTAATATTTATTGACTGCATCGCGGCGATGCACCACACCCTGCCCAATGCATTAGGTTGCATGCCGCATATTAAAACATTGATTTTTGGGTCGAATCCAATCGGGTTTGGGTTTGGGTCCTGCCGGACCCGATTTGACCCATTGCCACCTACAGGCTGCCTAGGCAGCTAGGCAGCGACCTAGGCCTCTAGATGGCTTGTCAAAGAAGTTGGGGATTCTAGGACCCAAGGTCGGTGTTAAGAGGTTGCTTTGGAAACCAAACCCACAAATAGATCTTAGACACCATTTGCTTTCTCCAGAATTATAAATAAAAAACATAATCGAAGTCCTTGATACATTATACATATCTCAGTTTTAAATTTGGAATTGAACTACTAAAACTATAACCGACCAAAAGATGCTCATTCTCAAAATCGACATTCTACATTTTCAATTCATCATTGCCAACCAACAGAAAATCATGAAACACAATAACACCTCCATAAATTCATCATTCTAACCCCATAGTATAACATTAAATCAAATATGATGAACTCAAATTGGCAATTGAGCTTCATTATCACTGACAATAACACCTACATCTCCAACACCACCACCACAACAGATGCATCTGATGATGATGATACCATGACATCATCATAAGGAATTGAAAGGTTCGAAAAACTTTTCAATATTGAAAAAAAATCTCAAATCTCTCTTTGTTTTTTTGTTTTTTTGTTTTTGAGGTTCCTCTCGGGCCATTTTCCCCCTTAACGAGGGGGCAAAATGAACTATAGCAGAGGGCTTGCCAAGGCTCGAGGTGCCGTTCAGGCGCTCGGGCTGATGCAGTTGCCGTGGCGGGTCCTTGGGTGCCTAGGAACCTCAATTCTTATGCTACCTGCCTAGGCCAATTTGCTTCATACAGATATTTATGTATTTTTGATAAAATAATGAAAATCCGAAAAAATAGATGTTCTAAAATTTCTTTAAGGCCGGATCGGTCGAAACCGGCCTATCCACTTCTTGATCGCTGATTCAAACCGGTTACCCAAATGATCGATTTGCTGGGCCGATCTGGGTTTTCAAACGCTGGTATGTTATTTCAGACATGGACTTCCAATGGTTGACATGGACACGACAATTTTTTGTAGAAACATGGGGGGCGATGCTGAATGTATTATATTTCTATATAGAAAAAGGCATAAAATTTATTAAAAAAGTTCAATGTGACTATGAAAGAATATTCAAGTTGGACATCAGCAATTCCTTCATAGTTGATTTATATTTCCTAGTTATTTTAAAACAAATACAATAAATAATGTTACAATAATGCTTCATCAGTTATAATAAATAATGTTACAATAATGATTTCATCCGTTATCAATGTTCCAAAGCTCGAATTTGGTAGCCAACTCAGTCGCCATCAAAATTAATTCAAACAGTCAACTAGGAGACCTTCCATTCTTGTGTGGAATATTTAAAAAAACACAATGTCTCCAATGGGATAGGAACCTAGCTTGTCACCTAGTGATGCCAGTATCCTGCCCCATGGGAAGCTACCAATTACATGACAAAACAATTTTGAAAACTATATGAGCGCAAAAACTTGGACACATACCGAGCTTTTCTTCTATAGAACTTGCACACTGAAGGAGTAGATTTCATGTAGGGGAGTTTTCCTGCAAAACATCTTTGAAAACTATATGAGCGCAAAAACTTGGACACATACCAAGCTTTTCTTATATAGAACTTGCACACTGAAGGAGTAGATTTGACGTAGGCGAGTTTTCCTGCCTTAATTCACTGATATCTAGATCAAAACTTGGACACATACCAAGCTTTTCTTATATAGAACTTGCACACTGAAGGAGTAGATTTGACGTAGGTTAGTTTTCCTGCCTTAATTCGCTGATATCTAGATCTAGTTTCTGATATTTTATGAAGTGCTTCTTATATTTATGAAGGGCTTCTTTCTTAACTATCTATGGTTTCTGATATTTTATGAAGTGGTTCTTTCTTAACTATGGTTTATGATATTTTATGAAGTGCTTCTTTCTTGACTATGGTAATTGGAATGACCCTATTTCTCCTTTTACTTAGTACTGTATCGATATCAGATGCTACATTGAAATTGGAAAAATGTTTCATTGCAGAGGGAAGATGAGGCAGCAGAATATCAGGTTGCAGTGGAGCCCTTGAGCGTGGAAAAAAAGGGAAAAAAAAGATTGGTAGATGGTGATGTGAAGCTCTCAATTTGTAGAGAGGTTGGGAATAATGGGTTTAATGGTGGTGGTGCAATGAGAGGGGGTAAAAGGAAGATAACATGGCAAGATCGGCTGGCTCTTAAAGTGTAACTAATAAACACTCATCAAATGCTTTTATTTGGCTTTTGCATATCTCACTTGTCAAAGTATGTTCTCTCCTTTCTCGCTTTTGTTGGAAGGGCTATGATGTTTCACTTGTCATACAGTAGAAACATATAATTTATTGCCATGGTAGAGGTGACATGCAGTAGTGTTTGTAAATTGTACCAAGTCACTGTATACAATCCTCCATCTAGAAGAATTGTGGGGAGAACCGGATCCAACCCATTGGATCTAGAAGTTGGATCAGACCTGGATGGTGGGTCGACCTAACCGGACTGCCAGCCTTGATGAGGGCCACAGGTTACTGCGCTCGTGAAGACGCACACACCCAGTTGCCATTGAGAACCGATAGATTATGCAACTTAAACATGAGTCAAGATCTTATCTTATTTTTTTTCTAATATTTGGTAGTAGGTAGTAATATTTGGTAGTAGGTAGTTCTCTAACTTAAACATGAGTCAACTGCAGTTTCCTTTCCTTTGGAATCAACTGAGAGCCCAATTCTAACTTGTGGGCACCCTTGATGTTGTAATGGGGATTTTATCTGTGTTTCTTCCTAAGAGAATTTTTTTGCAAATTAATAATATTTGGGAAATATGTTTGCCTTATTTATTTGAAAAATGGAGTTACCCTTTTATTAATTTTTCATTTATTAATAATAAATACTTAAACCTGATATATATGGTTTTAAGCTGTTATATAGCCGTAACTGATACCTGATATAAATGGTTTTAATCTATTATATAGCCGTCACTATGAAGGAAATAATAGATGCTTTTTATTGTACAGTATATTTTACACCCCTGGCCGTTATATAATGACAATTATGAAGGAAAATAATGGCTGCATTTTATTTTGGGGTGCTGTTTATATAGAGCCAAGGCTCTAAACAATTAAAGTAGAGTGCACCTTCAAATAGTATCGAGAAATGTGGTTTCAATATTGAAAATATAGCTTTAAAATATATTTTCATCTTTAATTATAAAATTTAATAGTTGAAAAGTGGTGTAGATCAATCAAATCTATATAAACTTGTAAATCTTGAAAATTGACTGTCAAAAAATGCATTAACAAATGCATTATTTTCAAATCTTGAAATCCTTTTTTTTTTCTCTTTTTCAAATCTAGAAATTTTTTTTTTTCTTTGTTATGATGTCCATACATCTTGATGTTGAGATGACCAATTTGAGGATTTAGACATCAATTCCTCTTATAGTAAAAATTTTGAGGTGCGTCATAACTTGATTGTTTAGAGCCTCGGCTCTCTATAAACTTCTCTCTCTATTTTATAAGCCGTGTTTACACCCCCGCTGTTACGTTTTTACAGTGCTACAGGCAGGGTTCATTTCCTTTATAACGGTTGTTATTTCTTTTAGGGAAAAGTTTATATAGTGCCAAGGCTCTAAACAATCAAATTTGAGCCTATCTCAAAAATTTCACTAGAAAAGGTTGTTTTGATGTCTAAATTTTTTCAAAATCATCTCGACATCAAGATGCATGGACATGAGAAAAAAAATAGATTTTAAGATTTGGAAATAGCGTATTTTGTAAGGCATTTTTGTACCGTCAATTTTCACGTTTTCATAGATTTATCGATCTACACTATTTTTTAAGCTTTAAATTTTATAAATAAAAATAAAAATATATTTTAAGGCTATCACAAATATTTTCAGTATTAAAACTACATTTTTCGACACTATTTGAAGGTAGGCTCTAATTTGATTGTTTAGAGCCTAAGCTCTATACAAACCGCACCTTTTCTTTTATAACGGCCGCATTTAAACCTAACCTCAAAATGAAAAATAGATCACATAATCCTTTTTTTCCCTTTTAAAGGATTCTTACGGGCAGATTCCATAATCTATTTTGTATGCAATTGTTTTTTCCTTTTCTTGTCCTGCTAGTGTATGTCTTTAATTAGTGTTCCAACAATGATAAAGAGTTTAATTTGCATGAAAAGGTTTCATTCCATTGATTTATAATAACAAATTGTATGATGCCAATACTGCATCCATCACATACATTTAGAGTCACATAATATGACCCATCATTTTTGAAAGGACCCTCATGCTTTTGGAGTCAGGCAGACACAATGTTAATGCTCTAATTCCTTGAGCAACTCTATGCCACCCAAACTGTCCATCTAAAGATATCCTAGTTTTCACATTGTGGAAGAGGGTTGTAGTAAAAATCCTTGAGCAACTTCTCAAAATCACTGTCCAGCCCATCTGCAAATCCATCTGCTCTCTTGTAAAGTAGGTTCATAAATCTTGCAACATGGGCAACTGCTTGAGTGCGGTGACCCGGAGCGACTCCTTTACACTTGAGCAGCTCCCTCTCTATTTCATGGTTGTTTGAAGCAATTAGGCCTCTCAATTGAGCGACGGCCTGCTCGTGGATGCAATTTGTGTGGTGATCCCTCATGTAACATGGAATGGACGATCCTCAACTCTCTCTCAAACGTGACAATGTCGTTGAAGAGCCGGCAAACTGAGCTTACCAGATAGAGCGACCTTGAGTGAGGGCCTATAACTTTCAGAGCTTCATCGAAACTGTAACAACTCCCACCTTTGTGTCTTCATCAAATTTTGGGATCCATTCTGCTTCTTTCACATGTGAGGATATCAAGTTCACTGACTGTCATGAGATGGAAATACATAGTTAGCCTCCATGGATATTGTTCATTTGAAATGTGATCTAATTTTAATGAATTAAGGATTTTGTATGAGATAAAAATTCTCAAATGCTGGGGCATTTACAAATTTTTTAGAAAGAGATAAATTTTATGAAATCTTTAAAATTCCCAGCATGAGAGAGTTTATCAACGATTTTCTGCTAACCTTGCCTATACCTACACAAATGAGCTTCCGTATGTGCGAATTCCCCCATCTTTTTTCAATCCATGAAAACTTTTTTCTGTAATTCCATCATGTTGTATGGACTATTAGTAACCTTTAATTACAGGTATATGGGGGAAAGTCTCGGTCTTCCTAAGAACCAAAATCTTGTGAGGCCCACCCATGGATTGCCTAGCTCGACCGTTTTGCTTCGGCCCAGTTCAGGCCAGGCCGAGCTAGGGTCAGGTTGGGGCCCTACCCATTGCCAGTCTTAGACAATGCTAGAGACGCACGAATAGCGGCCACAACCCCTTTCAACTTGAACAGCTCCCATCTCCAATTCCAGACTCTTTTTTTTTTTGTGACAATAGCAATTTCTATTTCTCTGAGGCCATCTGTCCTACACACTCTTCCCTCTCGGTTGTCATTGCCGTGCATTTTGATAATGGAATATATATTTACTTGCTCTTTTTTTTCTGAAAAGGATGCATTCTTTTTTTTTATGTGAAAAGTTTATATCAAGATGAGGCTCTAAACAATCTAATTGGAGCCCACCACTAAAATTTCACTAGAAGTAGTTGTTTTGATGCTCAAATATCCTCAAACTAATCATCTCGACGTCAAGATTTATGGACATGAGAAAAAAATGGATTTCAAGTTTTGGAAATAGTGAATTTGGAACGCATTTTATTTTCAACATTTTCAAGTTTTCATAGCTGTGTCAATTTACACTATTTTTGAAGCTTTTAACTTTATAAATATAGATGAAAATATATTTTAAGGCTATCACAAAGATTTTCAGTATTGAAACCACATTTCTTGATACTATTTGAAGGTACGCTCTAAGTTGATTGTTTAGAGCGTACGCTCTACATAAACCGCACCCTTTTTTTTATTTGTTAAAGTTATTTCGTAATTAAAAGTTGAAGCCCGTTGCAAAGGGCTTTAAGTTGTAATATTAATGCCACTATAAGGGATATAATGATTGCCCTTTTATTGCACCTACCATAGTGTACACCCTTGCCAATCACATATTTATAAAAGTTAAAATGTTGTAAGCTCATTTAACTTTATATATATATAAAGGAGTCAAAATTACCTATCGCTGTCGTGTCCTAAAGTTTAAAATTTTTTATTAAAGGCTTCGAGCTGGATAAGTATCTACTTTGCGCTGTATAAATATGATAGCCTTATATTTACATCCAAATAAAAAGTTGAGTATGACCTCGTTGGTCTACATCGTCGTATTTCTTATGGTTGAATCCTGAAAGTTCATTCACATTTATATGAAGAAGTTATAATTACTCATAGCTGTCGTGTTGCAAAGTTAAAAAAAATTTCTTTCCTATTTTGAGCTGAGTGAGTGTCACTTTAAGCTGAGTAAATGGCATAGCCTTATTTCACATCCAATTAAAAAGAAATTTCTTTCCTATTTTGAGCTGAGTGAGTGTCACTTTAAGCTGAGTAAATGGCATAGCCTTATTTCACATCCAATTAAAAAGTTGATTGTGACCTCCTCGTTCTGTATTATTATATTGTATGTTTTTGCTCTTTACAATATCACTAGCACGGTTTGCTTCATCTCTAAATTTAGATATTTCTATTGGAATGGATGTATCAACAGCTTGAACAAAAATGGAATTATATCCTTATATATATACACAACTGCCTCCCATAATCTCAATTGTTTAATCATAACAACTTGTATGATGCCAAGTAGGGGTATTAACGGGTCGGGTCGTGTAGAGAAAGATGGATATCACAACACCGGAACAATCTGTTTTTCTATTAGTATAACATTGTCACATTAGCCCAAGACTCATAACTAAATAGAATGAAAAAAAAGAACCAAAATAAGGTGTAAGAAAAACAAATCTTTCATTCAAAGATAAACATGGGTACATAAAACCCAAGGTTAATCTTAACACATATGACCTAGGAATACACAAAGGCATTACAATCTTAACACCCAAGATTAACCTTAAAACATATGATCCAATTTTCTCACCACATACCTTTATTTAAATAGAGGTTTTTACAACCATAATTACTATAATAACTACCAACATTAACTACAAACCACCTAGTTGTTTTACAGTTTCGTTCTACTTCTACACAAACTTACGAGTGCAACTTTACTACCTCACTCATAATAAAATAACATAAAAACTAATATACTTTTTAGAAAATACGCTTTAACAATTTTAACAGGTCGGTCGGTCAGAACGGGATCCGAAGTCATCGGAACCGATTGGAACCCAACTCAAAAATTGGGAAATGTGGGACCCAAACCCTCCCCACCGGGTCCAAAATTTGGACCCATTATCACGGCTAGGAATTTGTGAACCAGCTTATTAATAGTTTCCAACGCACATGAAACCAACATCTAAACATAATTCTAATTTACATATTATGGAAGAGATTTGTTGCAAAAATCCTTGAGCAACCTCTCGAAATCTTGATCCAATCCGTCCCGAAAAACATCTGCCTGCTTGCTTATAAAGGAGGCTCGTAAATCTTTTGACATCGGCAACAAGCTGAGTGCAGAGATCAATCCGGAGCAACCCCTTTACACTTGAGCAGCTGCCCCTCTATTTCATGCTTGCTTGATGCATATAAGGTCTCTCACCTGGGAAACTGCCTGCTATTGGGTGCAATTTGGATGGTGGTCCCTCATGTAACAGGCAATGGCTGTTGCCATCTCCCCGTGCCTCGACTCTCTCTCGAATGCAACAATGTCATTGAGGAGCCGGCAAACTAAGCCTACCAGATAGATAGAGCAGCCTTGAGTGAGGGCCTATAAATTTGAGAGCTTCATCGGATACTTGCTCCCCTATGAAGAATATGGTGCCCATGATGCCTGCTTCAGCCGAAACTGTAATGGCTCCCACCTTTGTGTACTCATCAAAAGTTGGGATGTAAACCGATTGCCTCCATTCTGCATCTTTCACATGTGAGGATATCAAGTTCACTGACTGTCACAAGATGCAAATAAATAGTCACCCAGCGTAGAGATTGTTGGCTTCAAAGCATAAAATCTAACTTAAAACGGTATTCAACATTTGCGCTCAGAGTGATTCAAACACTACCCAAACATATATAGAAGTTTCTGGCCAGAGGTGGATCATTTACAATTTCTTAGCTAAACAAGCTTTCATTGTTATTCAAGGATAATCTAATCCTAGTTACCAAATGTGCTATTTAGAAACCTTAAAAATTCCTATGAGAAATCAACGATTTAGCACTACCCTTTACCCACAAGTACCTTGTCAACTAGGAAAGTTAAATGAGCTACATTATATGTGTGTATTTCCTATGTCTTTCTACCCCTTTTCTTTTCTTCTCTTTTCTTTCTTTAACTGTGCATGGAGACTATTGTCTGCATTGCACAATTTGAGGGTAAAGACAGAAGAAAAACTTTCCAATCGTATTTCCAGTTTTTAATGGATAATGAGTAACCATAACTTACCTGTTTATGGGGAAAGTCTTTTTAGTCCTAAGCACCAAAAACTAGTGAGGCACCAGTCATCAATTGTTCCTTTACAGAGAAAGAGTGCCATCAACACTAAGACCTTCATAGTCAGTGGTGGTGATCATGGCATTTTAGCAAAAAGATGGTCTTATTTTTATAGCAATGGCATCATGTTGTACATGGCAATGGTCTTAAGTTGCAGTGGGAATGGGAGTCTCTCTCTCTGTAAATTCTCCGCTGTCGATTTAAATGGCCTATGAATGGGATGGGGAATCAAAGACTTTAGTATTTGAAAGAAAAATATTTGATGGTATTCATTTGGACCACCATCCAAATCTACCCTGTGCACGCATCTGTGCATGAGTGAGGGGCTTTAAAAGTCTCTTCTAGAGAAGTGATTAGCAGCTCCAAATCCGCAGTCAGGCGCCTCTTCTTCTAATTGTCAGACTAGGATTTTTTTATTTAAAAAAATAGTACCATTATGTTTCATTTGTCCCTTGGCCAAATACCTAGTCAAGTAAATATTAGGCTTCTTCCAACCGGTTTTGTTGGATTTTTGCCCGTTCATATACACATCTTTAATAAACACAATAAATACACCAAAAAACAAGTTCTTATCATATTCAAATGACTATGATATCCAATGTTCTTAAAATTGTTGAGCCAGCTTGGAACAAGTAGGGTACTGGTCTGGGTCTAAGACCCTTAGTTCTGCCCAGGTTCCCACCAGTTCTAAGAGCAAACCTTTTTATGTTTTACTATATTTCTAACAAAAGGACCCTGGTAAAATGGGGAGCTAGATCAGGAGGCCGTCCCGAGCAGGATGGATGACCGGTTCAGTTTCAAAATATTGATTGCATTCAAAGGAGGGGAAGTGTACAATGTGATAATTTGCTTTCAGTGTAGGAACATAACTAGCCATAGCCGTTAGATATGAAACAGGACAACTGGGGGTGCGCCATTGTTTGTATCCAAAGTCTAATAAAAATTCAATTGAACTTTGTGGCACAGCCTTAACAACCCGATTGCCATTCTAATGGCTAGGATTGAGTGTGATCGTCTAGTTCAAAATATAAATGGTCTTATTTATACGATCCCAAGAATAAAACAGGCCTGATCAACCCAAATAATGTAATGGATAACCTATGACCTCACTTGTCTTGGGTGCCTTTTGGCATTCAAACGCAAATTACTTCTTGTTAAAAATTTTCAAAAAGGACAATCATGGTCTAGATTTAATTGTTGAAAATACTTTCTTTTGTGTGTTCTAAGGAAATCTTTGTGCAGTGAAAGAAAACAGTCTTAGGTTGTAGAAGTTGTGGAGTTGAAACCAACTAATTCCCTGAATAAAGGAAAGAGGTCACGGCCCTCGGCCTCACTGCATCACTTTGCCATCTCATTCAGAGTGTTATAAAAGCAGATGAAGGTGACGTGCTTGGGAAGGCAATCTAAGCAAGATAAGTCCCATCTGCAACAAATAATGAAAATAATAAATCTCAATCAAAATACCTCTAAGAAAATCTATCCAATTCAGGAAACATCAAAAGAAAAGATTTTAAATGTTTGATATGAAAATGGATATAAAAGAAGGGAACATCTCACAGTCCACTCTCTTTTCCAGTAACAATTAATTTTTCAATATTTGCTTAACTTGAGGAGGCAACGCATGAAGTATTAAATAAAAATGATGGGCGGTTACTTAAATTCAAATTAATGAAATAGAAGGATTGATCACCAATTGAAAAGAAAAACAAAGCTAGTTTGGTGAGAGCAAAAGACTACAAAACAATCCAAGTTTTGAATCCCAGCAACCAGAAGATAGAAATCATAAGCATGGGATATGAAAGTCTATCAAAATCACAAGTATAAATAAAAGGAAAAATAACGGTGACCCATAAAAATCATAAATAAAATTGTCATAAAAATCTTAACAATAGAAATAAAAATACCCAAGTATGGGTCCTATGGGATGTGAAAGTCCATTTCAGTTCAATTATTGAAGCTCAATTATTTTGGATGAAGTCCAATATGCAAGATTGGTTGCTACATTAATCACTTCAATATTGTGGCTGATCCTCTTTTCAAAAGCCAAAATGATTGCAAGTTCCTTGGCTAACAGTACATGGAAGCTCAAGAGGTTGGTCTTGGGATCACCTATTTAATTCCTGTAGATGGATATTTGAATTTCAATATGGAACTCTTTGATGTTTAAATGCAAAAGAGAGTCCACTAGTTATAGTGAGGATTTTCAGGGATTCCCACTTACATGTAAGGATTGAAAAAACTCCTTGCTCTTGTTGGCTTTTAAATTACAGTATGTTTCAATTTCATTGACAGAGTTACTAAATCTACAGATAAAAGAAAAACAAACACATGGTTGAATAGATGAGAATACCTCTCAACAGCATGGAAATAGAGGTGGAGATCCTCAAGCTTGGAGGTAGGGAGGTCGAAGATACCATCATGCATTGCGGAGATGCACGCCATCTTGGTGAATGCTGCACATGCTTCTGCGAATTCGGGTCCACAGAGACCGGCGACAATTGTGAAGTGAGTCTTCACAACCCAGTTACGAGCAAACTCAAACTTATTGAACCCAGAGTCCACCCACCACCTCCAATGAGAAAAAAAAAAAAAATTATTCATTACTTTGGTTTACCAACTTCATTGTGAAAGGAACTAAAATAAATAAATTGGCATTTCTGTCATGTAGCCCTGTCCAATGTACACCATTAGCCTTTTTGTTTTTATGGTTAACACATATTTCATTAAATTTGTAAGAATGATGTAAAGAGATGAATGTGTCTATACAAAATTGAATCTATATACTGACTCTATAACACTCTGATTACACCATTACTTAATAAACATATTTCGAGCAATTAAAAGATCATGGATGCATCTTAAATAGACCAGGGAGTTTGTCGTCATGTTTTCCACATAACAGGAAATATTCTTCAATGTCAAGTCAAGATATACCTATCTCGATCTAGTTTTTTTTTTGTTCTTTTTGCGGAGTTGGCTAATTCAATGCAAAGAACATCTAAACTATAGTACATCTAAAACTTTTTCAAGTTACTTTCAAAAAATAATTTCTTTCAAGTCATAATACCTTGATGGGCCTCATTTAAGTAGATTAAGTACTGAAAATTATTACCTGTTTAGGTGTTTAATCTCCTTTAAGTAAAGTTTTTGCAGAATATTCATTTCAAGCATAGCCAACTCCATGTATATTTCAATGGCTTTGTGTGCAGGCCAAAGATGGCGAACAAGGCTTCTGGACTCGAGTCTCAGCATCGGCAGCAACCATTTCCTTGGGTGGGTTAAAGCAAACTCAATCTAAGGAATAACAGTTACAAAAAATCAGCCAAAAGACAACAAAATCCAATCAATATTCAATAAGCATATTTAATGCAAAAACACGAAGATGGAAAAAACCAATGTTTTCAACTAGCCTCACAGACTCGGTTATTGCCCAAGGGGAGAAACTCGGGAGAGTCAAGTAGACTTTGGCACATGCCTAAAGGCCCTAAAAAAACATAATCAAAATGTTTGTTTAAGAAAATAAAAGGAAAGTGAAACAAAATAAAAAGCAAAATAAAAAGGTTTTTTATTTTTTGACAAGGAAAAGCAAAATAAAAAGGTTTTTTTTTTTGGGGTAAGAAAAGAAATCAGCAGTGCGACAAAATAAAAAGGTTAAAAAGCTAATATATACATAAAAAATTTGATTTATGTTCCGAAACATTTTGAAAGAGTTCCAAAAAAACGTATAAAAAGAGCATATATATATCATGCTTGGAAGCATACTTTACAACAACTCCCTCGAGAAAAAGCTCCTGGGAGCATTTTTTTATTTGAAATTTTAGGAACTATTATGACTAGTAATTATTTTCAAAGAAAAAATTTGGACGTTACGTTATTGAACATCTAGGTTTTTTTCTCCAAAAATTGAACGGTTCCTGTGCAATCTTGGCAATGCCTTTCTTTTAAGCAGATAGATAGTGTGAATTATTATTATTATTATTATTATTATTTTGATCATTTTCTAGAGATCATATCTCCAAAATTTGGGATCTAAAAACTATTCCTAATGAGGTTATACTAAAAAATAAAATAAAATATTAAAAAAGAAAAAAGAAAAAAAAAAAGGGACTTCCCACGAAGTCTTATGAGATCCGGCGCTCGGCGATGCTTAAAGAGTTTTGATAGGATCCGACACATTAGTGTTGGTAGGACTGCACACAAGGCCGAGTTTTCAATCATTGGAGAAATAAAAACAAGTAAAATGATAGAAACAAGATTTATTTATTCACCCAAAAAAAGCAAGATTTACTTTCGGAAATAATATTTCCTACGCAACCGATATTTTTGTCCTTTTTAAAAAAAATAAAAAAAATACTCATTTCTTAGATTGTTGGTTTGAAGCAGGGGACCATTCTGTAGAAGTGCTTGTTGCAGTCGAGCCTCTGTGAATGTTGCAAGCAGGTCCATTAAGTCGGATTCCCATGGAAAGGCAAGTTGAGAACATTTGTAGAGATCCAAGGTTGTGAGAAAGCCTTCATACGTTTCAGTAGAGAGACCAAATAATTGTCCACCCTCATCTTCTTCATTCAGATATACCTTGAAAACATCTACCAACACAAAAACGTGTGATATCGTCAATAACACAGACACACACTCTCTCTCTCTCTCTCTCTCTCTCTCTCTCTCTCTCTCTCTGTGGATGTACCTGTAGAAACCTGGTATCCATTTAGTCTGAGCAACTGAAAACCCAAAGCACTGGATTTTAGACCTCCTAGTCCAGCATCAGTATCCCATTCCCTGCATTTTATGAAGCATATTATACTGGATGCGGCTTCTATAAGAACTGCTTTATGTAGGGTTGCAACGGGTTGGGAACGTCCAGGTCTTTCAAGCGGTCTGATTTGTTGTTACTAGCTAAAGATAACTACGAGTTCTTATTATATACGATCCTTAATACATCCAAACTAATAAGGTTTGAAGTATTTTATTTCCTGGGTACGGGTCAAGTCAAATAGGACCAAGACTCAAATAGTATTTGGAGCTGGACCCGATGCGCTTGTTCTAAATGTGGGACCCATATCCGGACAAGTGTCGGGTACATCCGGTGAGTTTATGAAAAAAATAATGCGTCACTTCAAAACCTTGTCCTAAAAATACTTTGTGCATCAGAAATCTTCATAATTGCTCTAAAATATTGAGTATTAAATTTGTAGCTAAAAAAATGGTACTAAACTTACAGATCTATGAACGCTTATTTTTAAGGAGAAATGAATGGTTTAAATAATATATTATAATATACATGATTTTTAGAATTTGAAATCTTAATTTTTTTTCACATCCATAATAGTCAAGGTCGAGATGGTCAATTTAAAATTGATTATATCAACCTTGAGATTTATGAATACAAAAAAAAAAAAAAAGGATTTCAAATCCTAAACATAATTCATCTCCTAGCATTTTATTTGGACCATACATTTTCAATATTTTTAAATATTTTTAAATATTTTATAGATCAGCTAGATCCAAAACTTTAAATTTTATAATTACGGTGACAATAGATTTTTATGTCATCACAAAGCTTTTCGACACTAAAACTGCACCGTACTTCAGTAGTATATGGTTCACACCTTATACAAACCTCTCCCATATAAAAATAGTCGTATGGCAAAGAAAACTTACCAATCTATAGCACCCAAATTATATATATGAAAATTTAGGAAAATATTATATGAACCGAAAAAAATTTCCAGTATTATGTAGTGGTCCAAAATTTAGCAAATTTTACACAGAGGTCCTACATTTTTGCATCTTTCAACCTAGTTATGAGATGCGCTTTATTTTTTATGTTGCAAATATTGGACTAATTTTTATATTTTATTTTATTTTTTACTTTATTGGACTCTAGAGATAAATGCCAGATAAAAAAAAAATTTGTCACATGTTTACAAGAACAAATAAGACATATAAAATTATACAACTTATCGAGAGATCAAACTTATCGAGGAATCAAACTATGAAGTTATGAGATAGGGTGTCTGAGCAACAACTAAGTCATTAAACAAATTTATTAAAAAATCAATTTGGTTTTATGCCAAGAAGGTCAACTATCGAAACTATTTTCCTACTTGATTGAGAAGTTAAAGGTGAAGGGAAAAGATATTCAAATAGTCTTTATTGATTTAGAGAAAGCACATAATAGGGTAATTAGAGATTTAATTTGGGGGGTGTTGGAAAAGAAAGAGGTCCCCATAGGCTATATTGACATAGTGAGAGATATATGCGAGGGTGGACTAACTAGTGTAAGGACAACGACTGGAGATACAAGCGAGTTTTCAATAGCAATAGGCCCACACCAGAAGTCAATGCTGAGCTATATCTCTTTGTTTTAGTTATAGACGAGTTAATTAGGTATCTTCAAAATAAGGTACCGTGGTGCATATTGATAGATGGCATAGTTTTGATTGATGAAACTAGAAGCTGCATCAACACAAAGCTAGAAATGTTGGAGGGATGCTCTAAATCTAGAGGTTTTAAAATTAGTCAGATTAAGATAGAATATATAGAATGTAGCTTCATTAATTGTAGGAGTAGAAATGAGGAAATAGCTAAGATTGATGATTAATAAGTACATAAAAGAGATTGTTTCGGATATCTAGGGTCGATAATTTAGGAGAATGAAGATATTGAAGAATATGTTGCATATAGAATTAGAGTTGGGTGGGCCAAACAGAGATGTACATCTGGAGTTTTATGTGATCGTCGTATAACATTGAGATAGAAGGGGAAGTTCTATAGGATGTCTGTATGACCAGTCATGCCTTATAGGATGAAATGTTGGGCAGTCATGAAACAATATATACATAGAATGAGCATAACGAAGATGAGGATGTTGAGATGGATGAGTGACAAGATAAGAAAAGATAGAAATTGAAATGAATATATATATGAGGGAACTTAGGAGTGGCCTCAATAGGCGATGAGATGAGGGAACTTAGTTGGGCCAGCCATGTATAATATAAACCTAATATGGCACTGGTGAGGTACAATTTGGTTCAAGTAGAAGGCTCTAAAAGGGCAAAGGTAAAGTTCCAAAAAGATATAGATAGAGGCAATGAAGAAAGATATTGTGACTTTTGGTCTTACTGAAAGTATGACCTTTGATAGAGAGCAATGGATGAGCATAATTCATGCATCCAACCCCAATTAATGGGATAAAGTTTGGATGATGATGATGAATCTAAAGATATTTGATAGCCCATATATCAATTATGGGTCAATCTAGTGTTTGAAACCTCTGATTGCCTTAAGGTTCGGCAGGTTGATGTTCTAGGGATTGCAGCATCATACCGTCTGTTGTTGCCTTTTTTTTTTAGTTAAAACATGTCTGATGTTTGAGACATTGGATCGACCCCTATAGTTTCCTCTCTCTCTTTCTCTCTCTCTCAAAAGCATGAAGACTAAATTTGGGCTCTACCCATTTGATCCCAAAATCCCCTCAAATATTTAAAAAAATGATCGCAGGAGTCGGTCTGATATCTAAAACATTAGACTATTTTTTGTTTTAAAAAAAGTACAACGAATAACAATTTGATGTTGCAACCATTAGAATGTGTTTAATGAAATTATTAAAAAAATAAATGTTTGGAATATCAGACAACCCAAAAAATAAGAGTAAGATTAGGATTAATATGGAGAGGTTTGATATTTCTATTGACCAAATATCTCACATGGTGTAGAGCATTTTCATCGCTTATAACGGGTCTTTGACGACAAATGAGTGCAAAGCAATAGCAGAATAATATAGGATTTTTCTTGTCATATAAAGTTGTGCTTTTTTGAAATATTAAAAATAATTAATTAAGAATAGCGTAGTACAAAGAATTTAGGACTTTTCTTGTCATATAAAGTTCTGCTTTTTTGAAATATTAAAAAGAATTAATACGAGTAGCGTAGTACAAAGAATTGGTGTACAAAAGAGAATTTATTGTGATTATAAAGTTCAACAGATTGAACATGACAAACTTTGGTGGTGGAAAATTGGAAATGCGCAGTCAAAAACAACAAAACTTTACTAGTGAACATGGAGGCGCGGAAAATGCGGAAAGAGTAGATGGTAAAACCCGTGTTTGGAAAGGGGTCGCAACGCGTCGCGTCGGGTCGGGTCGGGTCGGGTCGGGTCGGGTCGGGCCTGGACTTGAAGTCACTGGACTCGAAAATATAACGTGGAATCAGGATCTGGACTTGGACTTGATTGGACCCAACCTAAAAATTAAAATATCTATGTATTTAAATACATTTTCATAAATTGAGAAATGTGGGACTCAGACTCGATCTGACCCAGATCAGATTCGAATAGTATTTGGATCAAAGATTTGGATCATACCCGAACTGTCGGGTCCAATTTTTGGATCCACACCCAGACTTGGGTTGGGTCTAACCGTCGGGTCCGGGTCCATTGCCACTCCTATTTAAAACCCCATATTGGCCGAGTAAACTGGCCTTCTGGAACTTCAGCCTGGATCGGTGAATTGCTAAACATAACTAGTGAATCATATCGATTCTCTAGTGTGATTGTTTCTCTTTAAAAATGATAAATTAAAAGATAAACATGGAAAATTAATAAAAATATAATGTGTGGGAAGTTGGTGATATGGCCTATCCTGATCTGCACTTACTTTCAGTCTCGATTAACGATTTTAATCTTGATCGCTCGATTTCAAAACAACGGGTAAGACTTACCGGTTGCTCTTTTATGGTAAACCAGTGTGTTCAAGTGAGTTGGATCGTCCACTCCACTAATCCATGTTAAATTATTGTATCAGCGATTCAAATAGGTGCAAATCGACAATCCAAAAAAAAAAAATTAAATAAAGTAAAGCTAACAATAGGGGTTTATGAGGAGGGGATTTAAGGGGGAGTAAAGAAAACATAAAATAAACTTAGAAAAAGAAAACAAAAAAAAAAAAAATTGAAAAGGGAGGTTTTAGTAGGGGAGCAGACCGGGACCAATACCTTCTAGGAACAGGTTGGGGTCCGGGTGATTCGTGGTCCAGACTGATAATTCCCGATCCATGTCACGAGGTTTCCTAACATTGGGTAAAAGTTTAGCCATAAAGTTTAAGATTGTATGGAAGGAGACCATTTATTAGAAACCAGTTGTGTAAAGCAGTGTTGTTGTATTCGCTTTGCTTCAGGTAAAGCTCCCGAAGTCTTCGCGTTTACCCTTACCGCCAAAGTGAAGCGAATAGTAACTTATTTTTGGCACAAGATTTCGTCGTTCAAAATCAAATTGCGGCGTTCATCAACTCTTAGAGACCGTTTGGATACCTAGAAATATATTATCTGTAAAATATGTTATTGACATAATACATTACTGCGTAATACGTTACTTACAAATTGATTGTTACTGTTTGGATAGTATTTAAATGCACTATGGAAATAGATTGTTATTATTTGGATATGTCTGGAAGAGATATGGGAAATGGGTTACCAACATTTTACCAGCACTTGCATATAAATTATCATTTCTTTTTTTTATGTCACAAAATTCCACTGAAATACGGAATTAAAGTCATTATCACACATTCTAAAAAGATTTTCTAATAATAACATCAACACCATTTCAAAAAGATTTTCTAATAATTTGTACCATTCTAAAGTCATGATGACACCATTCCTTATTTATTTTGCATGCCTTTGGCACTTACATGGAATCATATGTCTTCTAACATGATCAGACTTTGGTTTCAACATGAAAAGTCATTGAAATAATATGATTGGAATAACATGATTTTATTGTGATAAGTCTTATTTTTATTTATTTTTTATAAAAGTCTTTCAAATGTCTCTCTATATAATTTCAAATAAACAATAAATTTTTTATCCTAAATTTAAAATCTTTATAGTAAAAGTTAAAAAATGGGAAGAAGTTCGATTAATAAACTAGAAGATTTAGTAATTGCAGTATAAAATTTTGAGACATTGGAGGAGACTAAAGTGGTATCTTATTTCAATTGAGCTTTTACTAATCTATTAAAGTATAGAACTTCACTTATGGACGTTTTGTAGTGTTTTTCAGTTGACAAAAAATTTAAAAATAATAATAATAAAATATAATACGAGGGAACCAGGAGATCCAGCCAAATCTAGATCACCTGGTTCCCTGACGAAACTGGGTGG